TGGCCCCGAACGCTCCGCACGCCAGCAGTCTGCTCTCTCTCTCCCCTTGAGTGTCCTGGTCTGCCCCTGCCTGGAGGTTGTGTCATCTCCCTGCAGATCCGTGGCTGGGTAGCCACGGATGTGCAGCATTGGCAGACCTGTCCTTTCACCTCCAGTAGAAGACATCAGACTTCACACTGGTGGCCATCGTGACCCAGCTGAGCCACAGCCTCCCAAACGCTGATGCCAGTGCATTAGCACCTCCTAGAATACAGAATGCTGCCCTCCACCGGGCCTTAGGGGACTATCTGCCATTACCACAGTCAGGCACAGCCGTAGAAGCTGCTCAGGGTGGCAAACTAGCCAGACAGCCTGACATTCCGCAAACACCTACAGAGCGTCTACCCTGTGACTGCTCTACTATGCGCTCATCTGGACAAGAGATGGACAGTCAGTAGAGATCCAGGCCAGGGAGCTGCTGTGATCTTCCTGCAGGGACCATTTGATCTGTATCCTGAAGAATGAATGGGAATACACCACACTGAAGGGCAGGAGAGAGGAAGTAAAGGGATTAGAGAATTCTGCCTGGGGAGGGAACTTTATTGCCCTGACAAAGAACTCAAACTTGCCCTGTAGGTGGTGTGAGCTGTCACCAGTGTTAAAGCAGGGGAAACATCAGCTGTATAATTTGCAGACAGCATGGAGGATGAGCCGAGGCAGGCAGGGGTAATGAACCCTGAAGTAAAGTGTTCCAGGTGAGAAGCTGACAGCCAGACTCGGCCAGAAGCAGAGTCTGAGGCAATGGGACAGAACCGGGCAAGCAGAGAACAGGGGAGGTGGAAGGGGCAGGACTTGTTGAAGGTGTGGGGTGAGGGGGTGAGAAGTTTCTGCAGCTGCAGAAAGACTGGGGGGGTCTTCATGTTATGGGGACAATTTCAGATGCAAGTGGATGGTAGTGATGGGTGCACAACAGCGTAGATACACCAAATGCATCAAAATAACATTTAAAGACAGTTAAAGGCTAGAGAGATGGCTCACTGGTTAAGAGTACATATTGCTCTTCCAGAGGACCTGAGTTCAATTCCAAGCATGCACAATGGGCAGTTTAAAAGTTCTTGTAACTCTAACTGCAAGGGAACCCAAGATCCTCTTCTGGACTCTTCGGGCACCCACAAACATAAAATATATTCACACAAACAAACTACATACACATAAATAAAAACAAATATTTTTATAAATTTAAAAATGACAGTAAATAATATCAATTTTATGTATGTTTTATCACAGTAATAATAATGGTTCTTGGCCTGGAGAGCTGACTCAGCAGTTGAGACCACTTATTGCTCTAGCAGAGGACTAGGGTTCAGTTCCCAGCACCCACACACAGTAGCTCACAACTGTCTATAACTTCAGTTCCAGGAGATCTGACACTCTCTTCTGACCTCCAAGGGCACATGGTGCATATACACACTGCAGGCAAACACTCGTGCACATGAAATAAAACTAAATATTGAAAATATAGTAATAGCCCTGGGGTAGTTTTAAATGAGACAAGCTATGCAGACCAGTGTGGAAGATGTCACCCTTGTGTGAAACACGTATATGTGTATTTGCCACACATGTCCAAACATTCTCTGGGAGAAACAGCCAAAGACTCCTTCCAGAATGGGAATACACCGCTGGGCACATCTGTTTGCTGGAGCTACAGTGACAAATTGTCTCCGTCTGAGCCACTGACACAGACATTTATTGTCTCACAGTGATGAAGGGTAAAATCCAAGACCAAGGTGTCAGCGGCACATGCTCTGACAAAGCTACCAGGACAGGCTCCTCCTTGTGTCTCTGCAGGTTCCAGGCATCCCTTGGTTTAGGGCAGTGTCTCTGCTTCTGTCCTCACCGGGCCACCATCTGTGTCTCTGTCCCCACTTCTATCTCCTTATAAGGACAGTAGCCATGGTGGATTAAGACAGTGACCTTGTGTCTTCCTGAGACTACGCATAACACGGTGACCTCATATCTTCTTGGTGACCTAAGTCTACACATAACACAGTGACCTCATATCTTCCTGGTGACCTGAGTCTACACATAACACAGTGACTTCATATCTTCCTGGTGATCTAAGTCTACACATAACACTGAGGAGCAGAGCTTGGTTGTTGGATATTGTAGAATATGATGTTTTTGTCTATTCCACTTACCACATTTTTGTGTTAAAATTGGCTCTGGGGTTTCTAATTTGGTGTGGGTGCAATTGGGGTGTTTTACTCAAAGATGGTGCAAGGGCAGTGTGGGAGAGGCGGTACTGGGTTTCTTGTGGAAAGTGTTGGTTATGCATCCAAATGAGAGGGTCCTTACAGTTCTGTCCATCAGAGTGAGATTACCAGGGACAAAGTCCTTACCCAGCCTCTCCTTAGAGAGAAAGCAGCGTAAAGTGAGTTGGAACTTGAGCCTTGCTGCTGCCAGGGTTCAAAGCCTAAACTGACCGTTCTCTCTCTCTGTGACCTCAGGCTAGTTGCTTGCCAGTTCTGGGTCTTGGTTTCTATGGTTACAAAGATGTTGATAATAATGAACACAGCAGGTGTGTTATGGTACCCTTGGGGAAATGGTTAGTGGCCCAGGACTAGGTCTAATGTGTCTCCCCACTTCTACTAGTGAGCCTGTCCCCGGGATGTAGGAAGAAAACCAGCCAAGGCTGGCTGGCTTGAGAATCACTGTGTCTACCCTGGGACAACAGGCCTCCTCAGTGTGACACGGTTTTTTTTTTTTTTTTTTTTTTTTTTTTTTTTTTTTTGTGTGTGTGTGTGTGTGTGTGTTTCCTCTGAAGTGAGTCTGTAGAAGCCATCACTGGATGGAATTTGGTACCTTGTCCACAGCTGTCAAGCATCCCCAGATGGGGTCACTGAGATGAGATAGCAGGAGGGGACATGACATGTCTAGAGAGAAAATGTGGCTCCTGCTGGCCTGGGTCTTGTTCCCAGAGAGTGGAAGCTAGGGGAACAACCAAGAGGCGTAGATTATTACAAAAGTAGGGTAACCCCATGGACTTTCAGCTCAAACAAGTGGCTTTCTTATCTTTTTAGGGCTAGGACAGAAATAAGTTTCATGGTCATGGGTCTGCATGGAGTCAGCACCCAGTGAATATTTGTTGAACGAAGGAAGGACATAAAGGGCTGTGGGGAAATATGTTGATAATACTGCATGTAAACATACTAGACTTCCCAAACCAATTCAAATGCAAAAGCATGCGACACTTGTAGGCAGGTAAGAAGTCAGTGAAGGACTGGGGACATAGCCTGAGTGAGTAGTGCTTGCCTCAAATGCACAATGCCCCGATCCCTGGCACTTCATAAACTGGGCACTGTGGTGCACTCCTATGATCGTGTGTTCAGAAGGTGGATACAGAGGAATCAGTTCAGGTCCTCAGCTACATGTAGAGTTTGAAGCCAGTCTGGGCTGCATGAGACCCTGTCTCAAGAAGAAGTGGGAGAAGGAGAAAGGGAGGAAACCGAAGAAAGAAGACACAGTCAGCCGAGAGGTCTCAACGAAAGACGCCTTTGGGGAGACACTAACAAAACGTATCCTGAAGCAGTGCATGTGGAGAGAAAGCTTCAAGGACTCACAAAAGGGACCAGCGTAGGAGACACTGGCTGAAAGGGGCCACCAGGGCCTGGCAGTGGGGGATTCATTAGCGGCCCCTGAAGTGGTACTCTGAACAGACTGCAGGCGGCGGACAGTTTGCCGACACTTGGAACGTGTCCTGAGTGTTCAGAGTGTTCAAAGCAGAGCAAACACATTTGGTGCTTACAGCAACATCAGAGCACTACATCTTAGTGGCGTTTGGGGCCTATTTCCAGACTAGGGCTCCAGATCCAGGCTGGCAGTTGGAAGGTGCCTAGTTTTCACTGTGGGATTTGGCTTCTTGGGGAACAGCAATTTATTAATCTTTTAAATAATTTTTGGCCCACTCTTGACTCTAATGGATTTCTGCACGACCCACAGATTTGCGCACACACCAGCAAACCTCCCAAACCAAACTCTGGTTGACTGAACTGGTTACACGGGATCGTTATCTTCCCTGGTGACAGGTCAGGCAACTAGGAATTCCTGCAGAGAGCTCAGTACCGGCTTGGGCAGGTGGGCTTCCGGCAACAGCAGGGAGACAGTCCCTGGGCACTTGTGGGTACCTGCTCGTAGGTGCTATGTTCCCAAGTCACTGTCCTCTCATTAGCTCATTAAACACTGAACTGTGAACCGCCCTACCAGACTGGGGGAGCTCCCGTGTCTTTTCCATTAGGCGTGGAAAATGAGAGTGATACTCTCACCTGTGGGGGAAAGTGAGGCAGGTAGCCGACAGGGAAAATAAGAGTAACCACAACTCATATCCTCTTTTACATTTCCCCCTCACTCTCCCCACCCCCCATTCACATGTGACGAACACGTGAGTGTCATCTGTATGTTTGTGTGTATGGACTTGTGTGGGGGTACACAAAGCACATGTGTGTGCTTGTGTGGAGGTTGACAATAGGCATCTTTTCTCAATCACTCTTCTTGTTTTTTGAGAGATTCTCTCATTGAACTTGGAGCTCACTGATTTGACTAGACAGGTTGGGAAGCAAGCTCCGGGAACACACTTTTCTCACATACTTTCCAGTGGTGGGATTACAGGCACTCACCGCTCAGTCCGTGGTGTTGAGGATCCAAACTCAGGCAGCCATGTTTGCATGGCTAGCATCTTTTGAAATGATCCATCTCCCCAGTCCCATCATTGGAAGGGACTCTGAATCCACTTTCAAGTAAACTTGCAAGCACATAATTCTGCTGTTACATCCAGACACTAGGGGAATGCTTCCGTGTGCAAACGAGGAGACATAAACAAGGATGTTCATAGATGCAGTGCTTATAATAACAAGAGAGGGAGAAAACACGCTGTCTGTCTCCAGACAAATGGATAAATATATTGTGGTATGTTCATTTAATGGAAAGCCAAGAAGCGATGGAAATAAATCAACTAGATTTGCATGGTTATCGCATGGCTTAATTAATGAATATTGTGAAAAACAACAATGACAAAAGCAAGTTCAGAAGGATTTGTGCAGGATGCTAACGTTTATGTAAAAGAGCTTATATAGTGTTAAGAATTCCTAAGAACAGGACAAAGTATAAATCCCAGACAGAAGTGAGATCTGGGAGTCTTCTCAGCAAGCCAGAGATGATGACGGGATCCAAGTTGTTCCCAGGACCTTTGCTTGTCCTGACATGCATTGCTTCTTCTTTTTGGTTAGATGATGAGCAGGTGGGTCATCGCTGTATTCATCTATGTTGTGTGTGCCTAAAATAATTAATCGCCGGTAAAAGTTATCTCCATAACCAGAACTTTCCATAGCACATTCAGAAAGCCCGCCCCAGGTTAAGAACCATTATTTAAGAAGTGGTTCAAGAAAGTTGAGAAACACTCTCTTAAAGAAAATTAAACAGACTTAAAAAAAAAATTCTGAGGAGCTGGAGAGATGGCTCAGCAGCTAAAAGAGTACACTACTCTCTCAGAGGATGCAGTCAGTCCGGAGCATCACATGGTGTCTCATGGCTACCTGTAACTCCAGTACAGAGGACCTGATGCCCTCCTCTGGCCTCCAAGGGCATCAGGCACATATGTGGTGCACATACACATATATCAGCAAAACACACATATACATAAGATAAAAATAAGTAAATCTGGAAAACATTCTCAGTGCTTTTAGCATCCTAAATTTTTTTTTGAAAAATTTCAAATAGCAGGTTATCCATGGCTGGAGAGATGGCTCAGTGGTTAAGAGTACTAGCTGCACTTTCAGAGGACCCAGGTTCAATTCCCAGCACCTATATAGCGGCTCACAACCATCTGTAACTCCAAACAAATAAAATAAAAATGAATCAAGTACTTTTAAAAGAGAGCAGATGTCATCAACCCCAGCTACCTGCTCCCTAATTTTGTAGATAATATTGTATGGAAAAGAGCCACATACATCTTTTATGGCTGCTACAGTGGTAGTTAAGTAACTACAACAGAGGTCCACAAGTCTTAAAATATTTGCTGCTTGGCCCTGTATAATGCATCTTGAGAGGCTGGTGTCACCGAAAATTCACTTGGGATTATAAGTCTAGAACTTCCCCTGACTCCTCAGAAACCGAGTTGTTTATTTGTGAAAAGTGATTGAGCACACCATGAGTTTTTTCTGCAATCCCCTGGAGGGCTGTGCTGCATTTATCTTTGCATCCCCAGCACCCAGCACAGCACCTGCCTGTACTTAGTACTCCCTGTGCACCTCCCTGACTTGATTGAAATCTGAAAAGCATTTATGGTGAGGATTAATAGGATGGACGCTCATGAGCTACAACAGAGGCAGGAGGCCTTGGTTTGGATATGACGGGAGTCTGAAATTCTCCCCCAGGTAACAGGCTGGAGATAATCAGTCCATAGCTGTCACAGAGCTCATGAGGTCAATACTCAAGCACGTCTCCTCCTGTGACTCCACCAATCCCTGGATAGCGTCTTCCTCCAATGGCCCCACACAACAGGACTGCATCTGTCCAGCGGGAAGGGAGAAAGTGGAGAGCAGAGAAGGCCTCAGAGATGACACCCATCATCTCCTGCTGGCCAGCACTTTGTCGGAGAGCCCACACATACCTGCAAGGGAGTCTGGTAAATGTAGTCTTGATCTGAGCAGCCATGTGCCCAGCTGAAGATTTGAGTTCTAAAACAATCCACGGAGCCGGGCGGTGGTGGCGCACGCCTTTAATCCCAGCACTCAGGAGGCAGAGGCAGGCGGATATCTATGAGTTTGAGGCCAGCCTGGTCTACAAAGTGAGTTCCAGGAAAGGCACAAAACTACACAGAGAAACCCTGTCTCGAAAAACCGAAAAGAAAAAAAAAATCCATGAATCCATGGATATAAAAAGGGTTCTGGAGGATATCAAACTGTGTCTGCAGAAGAGATAGTTACGAGCTCACTCCTGAGTCGGGCACCACACACTTTCCAGGAGGTAGACCTTATTTTCTGCTCTTTAAAAAAAATAACCATGGTGCCAGAGCAGTAGATCTATAGTGCTCCTTCATCATTTTCTGCTCAAAATGATATGACAACAAATTCAGATAGAGACAGGTCTCCCACCCTCCTGGGTGTTTGCAGCCCTTGCTTTTGAGATAAATCTTTGTAAGCATATTTGAACAGACCCAGAATTTCCATCTTCAGGGCAGGTAATGACAGTGGGTTTTGTTGCTAGCTGAACATCAAATTCCAAAGAGAAGGCTTCCAGGTCCCTTAATATTCCTCCTGCGGCAGAAAGGATGGGCAGAGTGGAGGACTCGGAGTCCCCGGCTGGCTTCTCCTTCTCTGCGGCAGTCTAATGAACCAGTTCCATGTTGTGCCTTCGGTAGTAATGTTAAACTGCAAGTGGGTGCAATTCCTGGACTGGGATTTCTCCCAGGAACTTTCAAGCATTGCATGTTCTATTTGCTGCAATAATACCATTCTTTCTCACTCTTAGAAATGTGCAGAGATCTTGGTATGACTTGCTTCAGCACAAAGAGCCATTGAATTGTTAATCTTTCTGCCACTCAAAGGCAAATGGAAAGGGAATCAATTTCAGGACTTGGAGCCTGTGAAAGGAGATTGACTAGGGCTTTCCAAGGGACAGTGTGTTAAGGAGGGAGCTGTGGGCCGCATGTGAGGCAGGCCTAGTCTTCTGTTACACCGTTTCAGGATTCATTTCCAAAAACACCATTTGACTGTCACACTCCCAGGATCCTGTAATGGGGAATGGGGAGTGCTTCATGTATACGTACCTCATCACTCCACCTCAGGCTTTCTCAGCCTCGGCACCACTGACATTTGAAGCTGCATAATTCTTTGTTGTTCCAGGGAGGAAGGCAGCCTTCCTGTGTGTCAGAGGCTGTTTAGCAGCAGCTGTGTCCCTGTCCTAGGGATGGATGCCAGCAGCACCTTCCTGATGTGAAAACCAAGTGTCTCTAGATCCCACCAGACAGTCCCTGGACGCTGACATCACCCACTAGACCTCCCAAACCCAAGCGTGTCCACAAAGTGACTTGGAAGAAAGACAGGATCCTATTCCTGGATCCCTCTGTGCCTCATACAAATAGGTCCACAGTCTTGTCCTCTAGTTTCCTGACCTGAGGAGAGCTCAGAGCTGAACCGAGGAAGCTCTCTCTTGGACACCAGGGCCTCTGCAAGTTAGAAGCTGCTGGATGGGTCTTGTCTCCAGAATACAATGTGGGGAAGACAAGATAAATTGGGAGAAGATTTGAATGGGAAGCTGGCCGTGCATACAGGGGAAAACAACAGGGAAATGGGTGACTGGGGTGGGAATATGTCTTCTTGGCTGGCAAGAAAGAAAATACAAAGTGGCTTGGAGATGGGGACTCTCCTGTGGAGAAAGTGCAGGAAAGCCTTCAACCTACAGGCTGTGCTTGGGGATCCTCATAGCTTTGACACTCACCCCAGTATCCAGCATTTGAAGAGTCTGAGGAAACATGGGAGGCATTTGATGGCCTGGAGAGATGGTAGAGTCAGGTAGCAATCAGGGCCCAACTCCAGCCTGCCTGGATTAAAATCTCACCTCTACCACTGACAGTGTCGCCTCCCTGAGCTGTAACAAAGATAAATTTTGTAGGATTAAAGAAAAGAGCATATCAGATTATAAATATATATGTGAATAAATATATGTGTGTGAATATTTTATATGTTTACATATATATGCATTCACATGTATGAAGTATGTGTTTATGTAAAATCAGAAAAGTTACTGGAACAGTGTAAATACTACATATATGTTTGGTCTTATTTGAGAAGCAGTAAAGTGTTTTGGTATGGCGCCTAAGGCAGCATCTGGACTATGCTTGGTGCAGTGTGTAAGGCATTCCGGGTTCTTGTTAGCAATAAACTCTCCAGAGTTCACTGTGTCAGAAGTAAGCACAGCCCTACTCAAGCCTGACCTTTAAAAAGAAATATGGTCTGGTTGAAACGGAACAACAAGGAGTCGGGTGCCTTGGACACCACGGCCAACTCCTTCCTGTCTGTTTCCTCCTCTGTGAAATGGGAATACTAAAGCCTGCTTTGGGTGCTCCTGTTGTGGTAGCAAGATGTGAGGAAGCGTGGGCTGTGTCAGGCTCCTGCCAGCCCCGGCCCTTCAGGCTGTGAGAGTCTTGGAGGTGCAGAGCCTGAGCACCTCAGCTTCCCTCTGTAAACTGAGGGTTAATTGAGGTGGTTAGGAAGTGTGAAACACTTAGTAAATCAAGTGTTCTGTGTGAAGGCCTATAACGTGATTAACGTCAGGGAAGCAGTTTGTAAGTGCACGGCATTCCACTGATTATCGTTCTCATCTTTCTCTTCTAGGACAACTTGTTGACCAGTGGCTTAGGGAAACCATTTCATAACCCAAATTACTGTTGGTGGAGTCCTAGGCAGCTTGGGCTACATCCTGTCATATTCATCCTCAGTCAAATACCTCAGCCCGCATCCTGCAGTTATAGACTTCCAGTACTTTCCACGTGAGCAGGAGTAGGTGGTTTTCCCTCATAGGACATCCCTGCCCCCAGGCAGGCCCCTGGCTGCCGCCCGCAAGAGGAGCTGTGCTTGTTGTCCAGATGGCCTGCCTGATGGTGGGGACCACATGGATGAGAGCAGGGCACACGGATGACAGAATGAAAGAGCCCCAAGAGCAGAGCAGTCTATCGGGGGAGCCAGGGACATGAGAGAGAGAGAGCCTGTACCCGGAGCGACCTGGCTCCAGACAGTTAGAAGAGGCCTTGGTAGTTAGGAGAGCCCTCCCTAGAGTTAGAGGATTGAGTGGTTGGAAGTGGAGATGGTTGAGCTAAACCCCTGGAGAGAGCCTGAGGCTGCACAGTAACAACGTTGGGCGGTCTGTGGTCACTCTCTGCTGAGCGGCCCAGGCTGTTTGCTCTTTAAATGTCGTTACAGACCTGGACATTGGCTAGTACATTGTCCTGCAGATAGAGAAACTGAGGCTTACAGAGTTTGTTACCCGTCAGGTCTCACAGGAGCTAAGGAGAATGGGGACATGAGCACTGGTCTTGGGCACAAGGCTTTGGCTTTGGTGTCAGACCCCGGCATGGTTTGAACGTCAAGTGTCCCCCATAGGATCACCTGTCTGCATACTTTGTCCCAGCTAATGTACAGTGGAGCCTTTAGGAGCTGGGACTTAGCCCACCAGGGTCCCTGCCCAAAGAATGGGGAAAGCATTTTGGTGGTGGTGGTGGTGGCGGTGGTGGTGGTGGTGGTGGTGGTGGTGGTGGTGGTGGTGGTGGTAATCCCAAGATAGAATCAGTTGCAGTGGCAGAAATAGGGCACCCAGGAGTGCTTGGTGGACAATAAGCACACAGTAAAGGGGGGGGGGGCTTCTTATTACTGACTGTGACTATGTGGGCTGTTGCCATAAAGATCCCAGAGTCCCAGGAATCCCTGCAGAAGCCACGCTCTCATCCAAAACAGTCCCCAGTTAGCTGGCAACTTCTCAGAAAGCCTAGTGAGCTCAGCAGAAGCTGGAGTCAAGCTGCTGGAGTCTCCACCAATCCTGTGCATCAACTCCGTGGTTGTGAGCAAGGGCTATAATGGGTCCATCTGCGTGTAAGAAAACTCAAGGACCATGAGTGCCTAGGGGTTGTTTCATTTGTTGAAGTCTTGGTCCATAGCTTAAGTCTGGAGGTGTGGGGCCTTTAGGAAGTGGAGCAGGACAAGAAGTCACTGGGGATGCATTCCTCAGAAGGAATGAATGTAGGTCTCACAGGACCCTGGTGAGTCTTCATGGGGATTTTTATAAAAGAATAAAATGGGCGCTCCTACTCTTTGGCTTCCTGTCTTGCCATGTAATCCTTCTCTCACACACACAAGTTCCCACCACAGTGCCATCCGCCATGATGTGTCCTGGAAGCCTGGCCCTCAACAGAGGTTGACCTGGGAAGAGAATTCTCGCAGAATTGAACTCTCGGGAGCAAGGCATGTAGCTCACTGACAGATGCTTGCCTAGCATTCAGGGCGCCCTGGGCTCAGCTCTTAGTAGTGCATAAAAACAGATGTGGTGGCAAACACCTGTGATACCAGCACCTCCGAGAGAGTAACAGAAGCATCAGAATTGCAGGGTCATCTCTGCTACACTGCAAGTTCAAGGTCAGCCTGGGCCTGTCTCAAAATAATGATAAAGCCTTGGACTTTGAGCCTCCAGGACTGTAAGCTAAATAAATGCCTTTTCTTTATAAGTACTCAGCTTATAACTTTTGTTATAGTGCTAGAAAGATGGATGAATGCAATAAGTAAATTAAGCTATGGTATGTTACATTTTTCTTATCTGTAAAATGGGTTAAAGATAATAAAGCGTGCAAACAAGCTGATATTTGTAAAAAGCTCAAAATATATTTGGTATAAAGTGCTATATCCATACTTGATAAATCAGTAAAACATTCAAAGCAGTACAATGTGCCCATTTTATGTATAAGAAAACTAAAGATGACTGACCCCATTGGCAAGGACAGAGCTGAAATGTGGGCAGGCTGCTTTCTAAGCCTGCACCCCCAGGACCCACTCACCGGTAAGACAGTGCGCGCAAACTTCAAGGAGCCTTCTGCAGGCTCCAGAGCAGCCCCTGGACTGGAGCAAACAGAAAGACACAAACCTCAGACGCAGACCCACAGCACCCTGGGGGGCTCTGCTGTTCTTCACTTGCCGAACCGTCCCTGGAACTGTCTCTTTTTCCAGCACTGACTCCCTCTGACCTCCTTCATCACAATTTGCTTGCAAAAACCATAATGGCACCAGGTGGTAGCCTGCCGGGAGCCGGGCATCCCCTCTGGGGCAAGGCTTGCCTCCATTCCTTGATTCCTGTGGCATTTGTTAGACAAGATGTCTAACTTGAGCTTAGAAGACTGTGACTGCAGTGTTCTGTGTACTTGGCATCTGGATCTGCTTCTTCCACAGGGTATTCTCTGCAGTCCCACTTGGCTTCGTATGGAGGCCAGAGGCCAGCCTCGGGTGCTGCCCCTCAGGAGCATTTCCCTTTGCTCTCTGAAACTGGGTCTCTCACTGAGGCTCATCAACTCAGCAAGGTTGGCTGGCTCCGGTTTCCACCCCACTCCCCAGCCCTGGCATCAGTGTGCCGCCATGCCAGGCTTTGGATGTGAGTGCTAAGATCCGACTCAGACCCCCATGCTCTTGTGGCAACCACTTGACCAACTGAGCTAGGTCCCCAGCCCCGTAATTCTGGGTTCTCTGCACGGTGCTCTTCTAAGCACCTCCTGAGGGCCACCTCACGGCCCTCGGCCAACATCCGGAAGGAAGGTGTTACTACAAAGCTCGTGTTGCAGATGAGAAAACCAGACGACAAAACAGTAAAGCCACTGACCCCGATATCACATAGCCATGAGCGCCAGAGCTGGGCCTGCGCCCAGAGAAAGACACAGCAGAGTTCAAGCTCAGCACTTCCAAGCCAGCAGGGAAGCTGGTCAACGCATAAAGGTGTCTGGACATAGCCAGCTGGCATTTGTCGCGCAGGAGGCATTGAGAGGTGAGCAGAATGTGTTAGCTCCTCACCCACATGCACCCTCCTTACAGAGAACAAGAAGCGCAGTCTCCCCCCCCCCCCCACTCAGGCCCTGAAGCCCGAAGTCTCTGGAAAACACCTTTCTGAGGTCATGTCTGAAGTGGTGGAAGATACTGCACCAGTCTCTCGGGACTTGAGCACTTGAGAAATCAGAGAAATTGACCACCTCAGTAGCTGACCTCTTGCTTAAATTGATGGGGGGTTTTATGGCATCCTTGAAAGCCACTCAAAGGGAAAACCACAAAGTTGGTTACCTGGGAAGGCCCCGGGGGACATGCTGAATATATTCCTGCATAAATAAGTCATGCGCAGAGAAAGGCAGCCTTACTTGCTTGGGCCACAGGAGCCCTGTTGGTTTGCAGCTTCTGCAGGGACTCAATCTCCAGGAGTGAATGGAGCTGTGGCCCTGTCCCAGGGAGTGCTGAAGGGATGGTTTCCCAGAGTTCAGTTCTCCGGCAAACTGGGTTGAATGGAAAGCCATGTTTCACCCTTGGTTGGAAAAATGGGTTTTACCTGCTTTAGTTTGCCTGCTCGACTTGGCTCGGAAACGGGAAGCACTGTTTGCTCTGTGTCTGCGGGCTGCTGGGTAAACGGGTGCTCCCTGGGGCTGTGCTCAGGAATGAATGGCACCAGGTGTGGTGGTGCGTGTCTGTAATCCCAGCACTCAAGAATCTAAGAAGGATTGCAAGTTCCAGGCCAGTGTGTGCTTCATAACAAGACCCTGGTGATGGGGTAGGGATGGGGGACACTCTCCAGTGGAGCAAATAATAGTCTCTTCAATGTGTGGTATTGGGCAAACTGAATATCCACATGCAGAAGAATGGAATTAGACCCTCATCATGTACTACATTCAAAAATTAACTCAGAATGGGCTCAAGACCTAAAACTGTAAAACACAGAGGGAAAACTCCATGACTTTGGTTTTGGTAATAATTTTTGGATATGACTCCAAAAACACAGGCAACAAAATCCAAAGTAGACAAATGGAATTGCATCAAATTTCAAAGTCTGCACAGCAAAGGAGTCAACAGTGAAAAGCCGGCCGACTGAACAGAGCGTGAAAGACACACAGCATGTGGTGCTCGCACAGAGCAGAACATGTCTGCAAACACATCAGACATGGAGGGAGCAGCCAGAGTGTGTAATAAACTCAACTCAGTAGCAACAAGGCAAATAACTCAATCTAAAAATGAGCAAAGGACCTGAGGAGACATTTCTCAGAAGAAGACAAAGAAATGGTCAGTAAGTGTATTTATTTTTAAATGCCAGCCATCACTACCCATTAGGGAATTTCACATTAAAATGACAATAACATGTCGCAATAAAATGATGGAAAATACAATTCCACCTGATATAATAGCTATGGTCAAAAAGAAAAGGGCATCCGTGTGCACTGTTGGTGGGAACGTGTAAATGCAGCCATTGTCGAAAACATGGAGCTTCCTCGAATGTAAGGCAGAACTACGACAGAATCCAACAGTCTTACTACTGGACACATAAGGAAGTCAGTAGTCACAGAGCTAGTTCATATCACCAGGTTAGGTTGAAGCATCATTTACATAATTAAGAAATGGAGTCAACCTAACTGCCCATCAGCAGATGAATGGATAAAGCAAATGTGAGGTGATGTGTGTGTGTGTGTGTGTGTGTGTGTGTGTGTGTGTGTGTGTGTGTGTGTGTGAAACAGAACACTAGTCAGCCTTTCAAAAGGAAGTTCTGTCATCACAACAGAAGTGGACCTGGAGTACACTGTGGTTTTTTTGTTTGTCTGTTTGTGGGGTTTTTGCTTTTTTTGTTTGTTTGTTTGGTTTTTTTTGTTTTGTTTTTTTTGAGAAGGGGTTTCTCTGTGTAGCTTTCTAGCCTGTCCTGGAACTCTCTTTCTGTAGCCCAGGCTGGCCTCAAACTCACAGAGATCCACCTGCCTCTGCCTCTGCTGAGTGCTGGGATTAAAGGCGTGTGCCACAACTGCCCAGCCTGGAGTACACTGTGTTAAGGGAGATAAGCTGGGCATAAAAAGACAGATAAATGATGTGTGACCTCAGGTACACATGGAACCTGAAAATGCTGCTCTCCAGGAAGCAGAGAGCAGAGTGTGGTCAAGAGATATGTGTGAGTTGAAAGTTGAAAGATACAAATTTTCAATTAGGAGGAAATAAATTCAGGAGATTTGCTATGAAACATGGGGAATATAGTTTATAACCTTGTGTTACATACTTGAAAATTGCTAACAAGTAGATTTGGGGCTGCAGACACAGCTCGGGTGCTGGGTTGCTTGTCCAGCATGCATGAGGAGGTAAAAAAGAGTAGCTCTGAGCTGCTCTCACCAGAGACATGCTTAGCATGTAAGGCAACACATTAATTGTCTTAATTTGGCCAGTCTACAGTGTGCACATATTTCAAAGTATCGTGTTACACATTATAAATGTATAGGTTTAATTTTTAGCAGTCAGTTAAGGTGAAGTGTTCATTTTTAAACAGACTACATGGTGGTGCACACCTGTCTCCCTATCAGTTCTTGCTATTTGCATTCAACTCTGTTTTGCCTACAGCGGAGAACAAGATGGGTGTGGTCCTGTCCCTGGGCTTAGACATGCATGCTGGCAGGAAAAAAAAAACAAACTAGGAGCTGGCATCGTGACTCAGCGGCTAGGGCACTTGGTAAGAAGGCCGCTGGTCTAAACTGGATCTGAGCCTCATATCGGGGAAGGAGAGAACTCACTCCCAAACTGATTCTCTGAGCTCGACACATGCACTGTGTATGTGCACGTGTACATACACACAATAACGTAAGAGAGGGAAACACACTAGTCAATTAATTAAATGATATTTAATTTTTTTTTTTTTTAAGAAAACTAGTCACTAATTGTGAAGATGCTGCCAAGGGGACAAAGGCCGGGAGATGATTGTGTAGACAGGAGAAGGGCACACCTCTGTATAGGTGGTCTGCTGGGAGGCCTCCTTGGCTATGATCAAGCTTACCCTTGAAGGACAAGGAGGAGCCAGCCCTGCACAGAACCCCAAGGAAGGCTTTCCAAGGGAAAGAAAAGGGACATGATCCTTGGGTGTGTGCCAAGAGCCAAATTTTGTCCTCAATATACTAGAAGGCTTTAGAAGAGACCCAAGAGGCCCTGCCTGTTCTGACACTCACTCTGACTCTGTGTGAGAGGTGGCATGGGGTGGGGAGAATGGAATCAAGAAGACTGTTGGGCTCCTACACTTCCACCCTGAGGTGTGCGCTGGGACCCATGGAGAGCCATGAGGGTGGGAACAGGGATGGATTTGGGATTCAGGGTCAATGTAACAGCTGTTGGGATGGATGCGGGTGTGAGACCAGGTTGCAGTTTCAGCACCTGGGTGAGCAGCAATGTCAATGACTGAGATGGGCAGCTAGGAGGAAGTTCGGAGGCTGGGGACAGAGGTGTTCGTTCATACAGTTCATTTGGAGATGCTGAATTTGGAGGTCCAACAGTCCAGCTCCAAAAGAGGCTAAATATGTGGTGTGTTCCAGGGCCCTCTGACCCCCTGACACATGTCAGCTTGTCCTTTAGGATCTGTGTCTCTGGTAAATTCCTTTGCCTCGGTCTCCTCATTGTTGGAGTAGGCTGCACACAGCACTTAGCTCTGGGGCTCACCATGATGACGGTACAGGTTAACACACAGAAAGAGCTTAGATCTCCACAATAAGTATTCGGTAAACGTCAGCTTCCTGTAATAACAATTATCATCATTTTAGCTGCAGTAATTTCCCTGCCATTTGTCTCTTTCTAATTAAAATCAAGAACCTCAGGAGCTGGTAAACACTTGTGATGTTCTTAGAATTATCTGTTTACAAGCTTTTGAGTTCTGCGGACCCAGCCTCTGCCTCCCTCCTCTGGAGCTCCTTGGCATGGGCTTTAACACACAGTGGGCACTGGCATGCCTGCCCAGTCCTATGGAATGCAGCTTGATTTCAGGGAAAGGGGGAAAACCACCACGTATCTGAATGAGGCCAGGAAGTACTGAGGCTATCAGAAGGCTCAGAGACAGACAAGCAAGAAGAAATGACTAGGTGGGTTTTCTGTGATGGTGATCGCTCATATCTCTGTCCCCAGATGGGCACTCCTTTTTAATGTTTTTATTATTAGTGTGTATTAATTATATATATTGGGTTTCATCAAGACATTTTCATACATGTGTTTATTTTATCATATCCGCCACTCTGTAACGGTTTTTGTCTCCCCCTCACTCTTACTGATGCCCCCTCTTTCCAAATAATCCTCCTGTTTCCGTGTTTCTGTGTTTCTAATAACCCAGTGAGTCTTACTAGCATTATTTACAGGAACATGGGTGCATTACCAGTGGTTATACCACTAGAGAAAACATGGGAACCATTAACTACATAAAAGTCCTCAGCTGGTGGGGGGTCATCACGAAGCCCTCCTCCCGCCATGTGAAATGGTGACAGGCTCAGGCTTGTACAGATCTTCAACAGGTGGCCACAGCTACTACGAGTTCACGAGTTCACCAGCCATGCCATGCCACGAAACAGCCTGAAGCACACTCCCTGCCCTCCTTCCACATCCTTCCCCAGGGTGGGAGCCGCGTGATTTCACAAGAAACATTGTCCATGCAATGGATCAAGTCGACAGCCGGAGATTTGCACGCACACACACACACACACACACACACACACACACACACACACACACACGATCCTGGTACTGTAGAATAACACACTTACTCCCCCTGGAAGCCTCTGTGATCTGCACCCTCGGGTCTTGCCCTGTTACTCTGGTGTCACAAGCTTCCTTGGGCAGTTCTGGGGGCCATTAGTCCCCGCCACCACACTAAAGGTGGGGGATCCTGAGTTTCTCCGCATATTTAGCTCTGCCCTTCTTCAGAAGAGAAAAGAGGAAACCCAGTTAAATTTCTGTCTTCGATAAACAATGGGTAAAGCTTTGATATAACGATGCCCCATGACTGTTGATTTAGCGTTTGTAGATTGCCTAATCTGGCAACTCTAGCCAAGTTCAAAGCCCACATGCACTGGACCAAGAAGCCATAAGGCACAGTCCAAAAGTCTAGGATGCTGATGCCATGTTTGAAGCGAGGCCCTGGGTTCCTCCATCGTCTCCACCACACCTTTTAGCCATAGGGTCTCTGTGGCCTCACCCCACTTCCCTCAGCTCCTGGCACAAAGGTTAACGCCCCAGAAACACTGACCCCTGTGGGAGCCCGACATGTCTCCTCTGGACCCTTGCTCCTGCTGGCCCTGCACAAAACACTTGTGTCTCGATTTCCTTCCCCATCACTATAATCACAGCTCAGGGGTCACCTTCCTAGGAAGCCTAAGCTCCCCTGCGGGGGGGAGGGGTGTGGTACAGAGAGGTTTACAGTCCCACAACATATTTCACTCAGAAATAATGTCTCTGAACCCTCAACACTTTGTATTAGATACACGGAATTATGGCCTGCGCCCATCCTCTCCCTCACCAGACTGCGGGCTTCCAGAGCAGGGATGGTGATGTGACACCTAGAGAGAGCGGAGCGTGACCCAAACGGGCACACCAGGAATGCTTAGTGGCGTGATGGAATGACTGTTACTTCACTGGGAGAAGATAGTGATATCCTTTGCACACGGGCCCGTATCACCCTCCCCCGTCGGTTCCCTTCCCCGTCCTCACCTTTCTCCCTGAACTCGCTTGCTGAAGCACCTTGCCATCTCTCATTCCGTCTGACAAGTGCTCTGGCTTGTTCTATTTCGAACGTAGGGACTCCGTCCTGTGTTCCATTCAACTCTCACTTCTTAATGCCGTCAGTCACTGGAATGGACACAGACAAATGCCTGCTCAGAAGTCCACAGCATGGTGTGAGGGGTCCGAAAAGTGAACAAGCAAACAGTAGATGCTGTGCCCGGGAGACGGGTGGCACCATAGATCCAAAGACTGGCTCTCCACACACTGACTCTGGTTCAGATCCAGGCTCCGTCACTTGCAGATGGAGTGGCCTCAGGAAGGCTCCTTATCCCTGTTTCCTGGAGGTTTAAAGATCCTCATAGGAATTATGCCTTCTGTTATGTGGGAACTGAGTGAATCAATTCACCTAAGATGTTTAGCGGAGGACCTAACCTTTACAAACACTCCATAAACATTTGCATAACGGTTCTTAGCGGAGAATGCTGCTGGCACAGACGAGGGACCCAGCTGCAGTGAGGACAGAGGATTCAGAGCCACCAGGAGGCAGGAAAAGCAAAGGGGGAACTTGGGGCTTGCTGGGAGATCTGCCCTCAGGGACCAGACCCTGGGAAAAGCGGCTGCACCCATGTGACCATCTCTCGCTCCCTCAGGGCAGACGACTGCTTTTGCGCTTCTCGGAAGCTGGACGCAGTGGCCACTGAAGCCAAGTTCAAGCAGGACCTGGGCTTCCGGATGCTGAACTGTGGACGGACCGACCTGGTGAAGCAGGCAGTGTCTCTGCTGGGGCCCGACGGGATCAACACCATGAGCGAACAGGTACCAATCGGCCTGCACCTCACCTCCTCAGTGCTGGGGCTGGGCGGGACACGGGCTCCCTCTGCTGATCACAATAATAATAATAATAATAATAATAATAATGCCCCTCCCCCATTTTTCCTCTTTTTTTTTTAATGTTTTGGGGTTTTTTTTAACCTTATAAAAATATACTTGTCCATCTTTATGGAAATCTCACATGATTGTTGCACCTAAAATAAAAGAGTGAAAAATAGACCTGTTCCGGAAAGGAAATAATGTCATTAGCTTGACCACCGTTTGTACTTAGGATTCTGCAGCCTTTCAGTGTCTGCTGGCATGTTGAAGTCAGTTCTCTGCCAGTCTGCTATTGACACAAGACAGAACTCAGCCATCTGCTGTCCTTTTAAGTTTAAGAGACACCAGAGTCAGTCTGGGACCCTAGGGCATCACCCAGACATGGCAGTACCCAGCAGATCCTGAAACCGGTACATCAGAGGCACCCACAAGGTGCAGAGGCGCCTTGGGAAGGGGGTGGAGTCACGGACAGAGAAAGCAGCCCTTCTCAGTGTGAACCCTGAGTGAAGAGCTACAAGGGACAGGCGGGGCTGTTTCTCCCATGGACAGCTCTTGCAAAGAGTTCCATGAAGAGAATAGATGGGACTATTTAATGACAACTAATCATTTTCTTGAACATCAAGGATCCCTAACACACAATCATAGGAATCTTTTGTTTAAAACCAGAGATTTATTACATCTTTTTTTCAGTGTTTTATATTTCAGATACCTTATGATGTTATTGGATTTTCTTTTGTAAGCTGATTTTAGTATCTGTATAAAATGATTACAGTGTTTATTCATTAACTATCTTTCCAATGCCAGATATTTAAAGTGTTTATGAATAATGTTGATCTAAACATACTTATACAAATCTTTGTTCCAATCTCTATTTACTTGGGGAAATGTTTCTTTAAAATGGAAGTGGTGTCTCAAATGCACCAGGCTTTCCTAAGTTCTCAGATTTCATTACTCCCCCACCCCACCCCGCCGCCCGGGAACCTGACTGGCCTTTGCACACCCTCTGATTACATATGAATTCCCTGTTAATCTGCTCTCCTTTGTTTGCTTTTCATCGCCATTATTACTGTTTTCTTGTTACTTAGAGGAATTTCTTCTCTATTAGGCACAAAGTCCTTTAATGTAACAAATGCATCTCAGTTTGTCATTGACTTTGGAATTTTGCTTATAGTGTTTTCAATTGCAGGGTACCAGTGCTGGAGTAATTTTCATGCGTGATGTTTTTCATTGTATTTATGGCTAGAAATGGATCCAAATTTTTGCTAGCTATCTCTGGTAAAACTGAAGGTTGCATTGGTGTGAGCTGAGGCTGTAGCATGAACATTTTCCCGAATAGCTGCCTTCACAACACTTGGTGCAGACCTCCGCCCCCACTTCTGTCGATTGTGGTGCTCAGTTTGTGATGAGCAGGAGTCAGCAGGGAGGGTTTTCCTAACGGCTTGGAAAGGGTGCTGTGAGAGCAGACGTCAGTGGGGGCTGCCACACGCGCCAGGTTGTCGTCCGGTTACCCTTGACTCTGTCTGACCCAAGGCCCATATAGACCAACAAGACACTTTGTCCTATTGTGAAGGACTGTATTCATTGTGATGAAATAGCTTAGGGTTGATATTGCAGGATCCAGAAAGTTCTTGTGAGCCCCCTCCCCCCCACACCATCCCCCATTGCAATCAGCCGCTTGTGTTAAAGACACACTTAGGTCTGCTGTACCATGAAATTCAGGAAAACCCTCCAACTTAAGCAAAGATGGGTGCTGAAGGGTGATGTCACTTCCCTTCCCTGGAAGGCTGTGACCCTGCGCGTCACAGGGCTCCACATGTCCTCTTCTGTCCTGCCAGGGTCTGAGTGCCCCACCAGTAAGACGTTCCATGTGTTTGTCGACTGACCACGGCCACCTTGTAAATGTCTCCATCTCTGGTTTTAACCACCGCAGGGCATGACCCCCTTGATGTACGCCTGCGTCCGTGGGGACGAGGCGATGGTGCAGATGCTGCTGGATGCCGGAGCTGACCTGAATGTGGAGGTGAGGGTGCGGAGGGCTGCAGGCCCTGCCAGCCCAGACTTTCCCTTCCCAGTCACCCTCACACATTACTCCTCAACCCCTTCAGTGACTGCCGCTGCCGCCGTGGTGAAATCACCTGGCAGACTGTATCCTACCTGAGGTCCCAGTCAAAGCCCCAAGTAGATACCCCTGCGTGTGCTTCATTGGAAACAATAGCTGTAGCTACAGGGAGCTCTGGCTTATGTTGACTGAGCAGCTCCTAGCTCCTGACTCATCCTTTCTGGGATGAGGCAGAAAACTCCCATGTTCCAGCCCTTTCCTGATGCCTGACACATGCTGGCCTGACTCCTTGGGCTGAGATAGGTCCTCACATTCTCTACCCTCCCCTCACCCCCAGGCCCACTGACTCACTTTGTTGGATAAATTGTCTCAAAGCTGCTGGGATACAGTATGGCAGGCTGGAAATTGAAGCTCCCCTCCCTGAAGGCTTTAGACTCTGACAGGCTTAGGTTCAAGTTCTGACCTGCTTCAAAGCTGGAGAAGTGGTGGGGCTTATGAGACGGAGAAGAATGATGCACACGTTATCGGGAGGGATCGATGCCTAGCAGGGGGACCCAGCTGTGGTTTGTACCTCGCAGGACACTAGCCATGTTTGAGACTCCAAACCACCCCAAGACTCAAAATAAGTGGATCCTCGCTTTTTTGTTCTTTGCTGCCTGAAGGCCTGCCTGCTCAGCCAGCACTTGGTGGTTGCAGATGTCAAGGAGATTGGCATGCCGCAGCCATCAATCAGCAACTCCAGGAAACCTTTTTGCTTCAAAATTAGATGCCCTTCAGTGTTGCCCTGTGCTTTTTTGAATTATTGGTGAGTTTTATGTTCATCCGAGGAAAGCAGACAGTAAACATAGCTCTGAATCCAAACTCATTTTGGATCTTAACAAGTTTCAAGTGATACACGAGTTGTCCACCCTACTATGGGTCTCCGAGTATCACAGACCCCGTCAAGGTCCTCAGCTAGAGGTGTTCTTTGATCATCCTCTCCAGACCCTCCGATGGGATTCGCTCAGTGCCTTTGTCTACTGTAAGGACGCTCAGGCCAAGGTTACATGCCCCAGGAATGCTGGGGAGAACACTGTGTGTGGTGTTAATATCACAAGTCCCCAGTTGTCAGCTTCTGAACCATGTCCCGGCTTTGTATATCCAAGGCCTTTCTCCATCCTGAAACCCCGTCTCTCGTTACTTCTTGGTATGTTCAGGGCAGGTTTTGTGCCTGTGTTTCCAGTTACATGAGGACCCTTTTCAACTAAGACGCCAAGGTGACCTGTGAGCAGAGTGGCAGGGACATCCTCTCTCAAATGAATGACTGTCTTCTCTACTGTGGAAGCATGAAGCAGACCTACCCTCACCCGCCCCCTTTGAGGATCTGAAATATAGCTAGCTTGCTAGTGATGTTTCAGGCTACCTCCCTTCCTGTCCCACCATCCTCCTTAAGCAGAAAGAGGGGAAGAGAAGGTCAGAGAAGGCGGCTCATAGGAGCCACTTTTCCAAAGCATCCCTATGAGTGTACGAACACTAACGCTTTTCAGGGGGACGGTGAATACACAGAGAACACAGGTTCAAAAACCTTTCCCTGCCCCCATTGATAACATCCCCAACACAGTCCTCCAGTGGCCTGCTTCCAGAAGGCTGCTCCAGCATCTCTTCCAAGACACTCAAGCAAGACCAGTGCCCAGTTCCAATGAGAGGTTGCTTGGAGCCTTCAACAGGGGAAATCACTAGCCAACGTCACCACCATTTCCCAAGGCACCTGCCAGGATGTCTTTTTGGTACTCTCCTAGTCTGTGTGCCTGGCCACAGATAGGCTAGAATCTGCAAGCCTAAATATTGTGAAGGTCACATTTTTAAAAATAACTTCAATTTGTTTATAGGTTGTCAGTACTCCTCATAAATATCCATCCGTCCACCCCGAGACCCGCCATTGGACGGCTCTGACTTTTGCTGTGTTGCATGGACATATTCCTGTAGTTCAGGTATTAACGTATTTCCCTATCCACATCTGACCGTGAACTGTGACCTCCTCCATGATGCAAATCTAAATCTCTCCCAGCATGCATATCTCCCTGAGTTATTCATATTGGTTAATTGCAATTCAATGTAGCATATCTGTATTCTATAATGAAATTATCATACTTCAGCATCTATTTGGCCAAGCATTAACCAATATGAAAGCATTGCATACCCACAGGCAGCCTCACACACAGAGTGACAGACCTGTGGAGTTCTTCCTGGTTGCTCTGAGGTGAGACTTCAGCTGTTATTTTGTGGACTTGCTCTTTTTACTTATCTTAACATGACCGTGAGACTTGGCTGGGATCAGTACCTGGAGGGACTTTTCCCTCAGGTGTGACCCTAGTGTTCTGTAGATGCTAATGGTTTCCAACCAGTGGGAAGAAGCATCCAGATCAACGAGGGGGTATTTGAAAAAATGCGCTGGTGTGAGTCTTGACTCTTGAGGATCGGCTCCGGGCGGGGGGGGGGGGTCTACAGTAGATTCCGTGTCTTCTGAAACAGCTCTAAATGTGGTGGCATGCCTGTATCTGTGATCTGTGGTAAACTTGATGTAGCCTCGGTCTTAACTCGGTCATTACTTCATCGGAAGAGGGAGCTTGGCATCTAAGTCCAGGACCTCTCCATCCCCACAGTGAGTGCAGAGACAGTGAGAACCACCTCTTTGATGTGGCTCACATATCTGAATTCTGTGCAGCAGAGAGTGGAGCGGCAGGGACGGCTCAGCGGTGTTGGCATTCCACAGGAACCTTTGATGTTTCCTGGCTATGGGAATCCTCATGACAGACCCATAGCGGCGTTTCAGGAGGCTGAGTGTGATGCAGCACCCTTGTCGCTGGCTTCCGCTTATAGAATATCAAGCTCGGCCCTTTTTGGCGGGGGGATCTAAGAAAGAAGGGAGTTGATAGCATCTGGGGAACAGAGACAGAATCCCTTAATGGACAATGGGGTCCTCAGCCATTCATTCAGGAAACGGAACAGCTGAAAGCCAGACAGAACCTGCTGGTAGTCAGGCTGCATCCCGGCAGCAGGTGCAGTCACGGGGATGTGCTCTCGGGCAGCAGGAGGTGGGTAGTAAAGACGGTGGGTTCTCCCCCATGTTACATGCTGCAGGCAACAGCACCTTCACTGAGAGCGGTGAACGGACAGCGCCTCCGCCTCCTCTAAAAAGCCCGCGTATCTCAGCAAAGGCACCGAATGAAGGCAGGAGAAGCACATTTTCTGCAGCTTTTGCTACATTGCCAGATCTCGCTGGCCAGAGAACTAAACACCTCCCCTGTCCTCAGAGCCATCCAGGGGGGTCTGGGAGGGATGCTCAGCCTGGCTGGCCGAGCATGTTCCTGGGGTCGGTCATAACTCTTGAGCCCCTGTTGATCATCAGTTGCCCTCTGAGGCTTGTGACACAGACCCAACCATGGAGACTTTCAGCATTTGGATGCTTCTATCTCAGTGCTTCCAGAAACCTTAATATTCCTAAGGACGCCCTGGGGAGCCTGTTAAAATACAGACAGGTTCAGTACGTCCAGGCCGGGGCCCGAGAGGCAGCCCTTCTAGCAAACTGAGTAACATGTCCTTGTGCATGGACCATGCTGTGGGTAGTCTGAGGTCCTAAAAGACGAGAGGCTTCTTTTCTGAGGTAAAGTTGCCTCCAGTCCAGTGCACAAGGTCACCGGCCTTGGGGGAGGGACACTAGTGCCTGACCGATGTCAGCCAGTACACTGACGCCTCCCCACGAACCACGCCCTTCCACGTCTCAGTGGCCACTCTTTTCCTGCAGCTCCTCCTGGATGCTGGAGCCAAGGTAGAAGGCTCGGTGGAGCATGGCGAGGAGAACTATTCAGAAACTCCGCTCCAGCTCGCCGCCGCTGTTGGTAAGTCGCCGGTTCGAACCCAGCCCCGGTGTCTCCGATGTGGCCTCTGATGTACCTGTGACTGGCTGTTGTTTTCTTCTTTTACGAAACCCCCTTCTCTGGGCTTGCAGGGAATTTTGAGCTGGTTAGTTTGCTGTTGGAGCGTGGTGCGGATCCCCTGATAGGAACCATGTACAGGAATGGAATTTCTACAACCCCCCAGGGTGACATGAACTCTTTCAGCCAGGCCGCAGCCCATGGACACAGGTAGGCTAGGACGGGCCAAGGCCACCAGGTCCCAAAGTGGTGCTTGTTAAAAATGCAGATTCCCAGGCCTCCCCCAAGACCCATTCTCTCTCTGGATGTGGGGCTCAGGGGTTAGTGGAAGTGGGGTAGCCCAGGCTCAGGGCCTGACCAGAGCACCCTCACTCACACTTTTCTGCTAAGAGCCAATTTCCCGCACTGTATGTGCATACAGACTGCCATGTTCTGTTCACGCTCAGCCATCTGTAACCACAGAGATATGTGTCGCTCTTGGCCGGTATGGGTCAGAGTACATCACGTCAGCTGCCACGATCTGAGAAGAATTCACATAAAAATGACAGAGTTCTTCTTGTTGGCTCATGTCCTCTCTAGGTTTCTTCCACCTTATCAGATTTTATTACACAATGCCCAAAGAGAACAAATTCACCAGACTAATGCTCAAAAAGGCAGAGTTCCAGAACTTTCTGGGTATTACTCAGCCTCAAGATGTCCTCCGGGAAACATGGCCAGTCCTACCCCACCATCTCCTTCATCCCCAAAGCCTGTCATCCATGAAGCCATCATCTGGGAACCATCCTCTCATTCCTGGTCCTGAGTGAGCAGCACTGAGCAGCTCCTGACCCCTACTGTGCCCCTGCCCCAACACAGCCACCTCCGTTCTGAGTGTCTTCCTCTCTGGGTTTATGATTGACAGGAATGTGTTCCGCAAACTGCTCGCTCAGCCAGAGAAGGAGAAGAGCGATATCCTGTCCCTGGAGGAGATTCTGGCTGAGGGGACAGACCTGGCAGAAACAACCCCGCCCCCCTTGTGCGCCAGCCGCAACAGCAAGGCCAAACTGAGGGCCCTGAGGGAGGCCATGTATCACAGCGCTGAGCATGGCTACGTGGATGTCACAATTGATATCAGGAGTATAGGTCAGTCTGGGCACTATTCACCACTGGACACAGCATGCACACACACACACACACACACACACACACACACACACACACACACACATCAGGGGGTCCTAGGGAGCTTTTCCTTCTCTTGTGAGAACATTTCCAGGCCAAGACACCCACACTGTTCCCACAGACAGCAGCACCCTGCCTGCCCTGAGGTCCCACCTTGGATCACTTTGTCCTGATTTCCAAACCCTGGACCTTGAACCAGATATGTAAATCACCTGGGGAGCTTGTCTGAATACAGATTGCCAGGCCCTGCACCCAGAGGCTCTGCTGTCGAGGGTCTGGATGGATAAAGGCTGGAATCTGTATATTTAACAATCACTCCAGGTGGTTCCCAGGGCTTGAGGACTTACTGTATAGGACACCTAACTCCACTGACACAGACAAATGCCTCCTCACCAGGACTTTTCCTCTGAGCCAACAGGATCCTTTCAGGAGAGCAGCAGCTCTTTCTGCAATGAGCTAGCCCAGAGCTGTCTCGTTGGTGTGTCTGGCGATCCAGGCTAGCCTAGCATCAATCTAGTGGCAAGGAAGAGAACAGTGAGACATGGAAATGGGTTCCTCTCATGGCAGGCTGAAAAACAAATAGAAGCCACTGGATCACTGCTCTGGAGAGGTGACTGTTCTGGCAGATGGACCATTTAGTACATAGGAAATGTATGCTGTTACCCTGAGAGTCTGTTTTGTGTGATTAAGCTTGGGGGCTCAGAACAATCTACCTGTTCATTACGAAGCAGGCGAGGCATGTTCTCCCTCCTCACCGCTCACTGCATGTTACGGCAGTCGTCTGCTAGGAGACCTTGTTAAAGGAAAGAGACATGATGAGGTGCTGCAGGTGGCAATGTCTCGCACAGGGGGCAGCAATGGTCCCCTCCCATTGATTTAGATGTGACAGGGGATGGCCAAGTCTCACCGTTCTCAGCCCTCATCTGAGTATGGTTACATCATCTAATTCTGAAACTCCCTCTTCCCCTGAGTTTTCCCCTCCCCAGTGAGTAGTAGGAAGACAGTGGACTCCGAGGCATAGACGCATAAGAATGAGTAATTAAAATGTTCTCCGCAGTGACTGGTACTGTAAAATGCACCCTCGATAGTCTGAGGAGCACGTATAAGCAGCAGAATTTCCCCTTCCGAAAGTCTTGCCTGTGCTCACTGAAGGCTGGTCCCTTGGATTCATAGCTTGGTAACTTCCTAGACAAAGGCCAACTTCCAGATAAAAACATTCCTGTTCCTTGGTTGTTTTCTGCCCTCCCCTCGTCCGCCCTCCCCTCCCACCTGGCCCGATGCCTTTTCCCCATGCAGGTGTCCCGTGGACTCTGCACACGTGGCTGGAGTCACTGCGGATCGCCTTCCAGCAGCACCGCAGGCCTCTCATCCAGTGTTTGCTCAAGGAGTTCAAGACCATTCAGGAAGAAGAGTACACGGAGGAGCTCGTCACCCAAGGCCTGCCCCTGATGTTTGAAATCTTAAAAGCAAGCAAGGTACAAGGGGGTTGGGGGGGGGAGGCCATTGTGATTGCAGTGGAGACTGAGGGTGGAGGCTCATAGATCTGGACGGTCCCTTGCTGGGAACGAATGGTCCTTAAACATCCCTACATCACCATTACAGGTGGCGAGTGCATCTCGGCTGGCTACAGCTACTTGCGCAATCACTTGTGGGCCAGCTTTTCAGCTGAGCATTTCCTGTATCCCAAGGCATTTATGCACAAGAGCAGGTTAGGGATCTTTGACTCAGGGAACTTGCTCTCAAGCCAGGGGATGATACTAACACGTGTGCTCTAAAAACATATAAAGCTAGTTTAGTTTCCCTGGACCAGGCTAAGAAAATGTAAGACTCAAAAGGGGGTAAGGGGGCATCCCCACAGTGCTGGTGCTGACCAGGCCCAAAGGGTGAGAATCAAGAAGGAGGAGGGAAACGGTGCCATCCCTGGACAATATTCTGCTACGGTTTCTGGAAAGCTAAGACTGACAACATGCCCAACATGCAGCCCAGAGGCTGCATGCATCCCAGGGTAACTATGAATGAAGCCCAACATATGCATAGATGATATTATATCACAGGATCAAAACATTAGACACCTCTGATGGGAGGGCCAGTCAGGGGAACTTCATTCTGATTCCTTGGGGTTCACCCCTACCAAGGTCTCCATTCCCAGCAAAGGAATGCCACGTCTCTGCGTCTCTTTCTAAACATCACTCTTGCTCTTGGGGTTTTATGAGATCATTCCATGAAATCTCTGTAGAATCATCCATTTGGGAATATCATAAAGACACTCCAGGCCCTGCCAGGAGTGTGTAGCCCCCTCTGTGTGTTGATGGGAAGTACTGGCTTTGGACAGCCTTGATGGACTTGCTCCCTGACACCCATTGGTGTCAACAGCCAAAGGCCAGGGAACACTGTTAGAAAACACCTCAGCTCTGTGACCATGAGAAGCACGAGGGAGAACCAATCTCCCTGAAAGGTTCTAGAGAGTTCATACCCTAAGCCACCAGATCACCCAAGTGCATGGTCTCATATTACACAGTGGTTGAGCATATGTACTCTGGAGCCAAATTACAAGGGTTCAAATCCTAGCTCTCCCACTTACTAGCCTTAGGACCCAGTTAAGCTTCTTAAAACCCCGCTCTGCCTCAATTTCCCTGTCTGTAAATGGGTTGATAATCACACAGGCCTCTAGGTGGCTGGGAGTACAAAGCAGAAATGCCAGTGCCCCTCCACTCCTCCCGGACACCACACAGAAGCTTTCTTAGTGGCTTTGAAAGCCTCACACAAGGCGCAGGGTCTTCTGCAAAGCTTCCCCAAGGCCCTTCTGCAAACACCAGCTCAGGACAGCAGCAGGCACAGCCAGCTGTGAGTACCTGGGTCGCGGTACCATCTCCTCTCCTCAGGGTGACATTTGCCTTATGACACTTCTCTCTTCGGTGCCCTGAAATTCACAAAAGGAATTAAGGTGTTTCCCAGACCCATTTGTCTGTGGAACCCTTTCATAACGAACTTCATTATGTCTCAAGACATAAATGAAGCTTTTTTCAAAGCTTCAAATAATATATATATTAATATATATATATATATATATATATATATATATATATATATATATAAAATTTAGTTACAAGCCAGTCACTAACTTAAGCATATTTAGGGCTTAAATCTTACAGTCTTACAAGCACTTCTGGAGGAACCCTAAATTCATCTCCATTTAACAAACAAGGGGAAATTGAGGCGAGGAGATGGGAACTAACTCGCCCAGGCTCCCCCAACTGCCAAGCAGCTAAGTGACCGTGCTGGAGTGATCACCCTGTCCCAGGGCAGGCTCTGTGGAATTCCAGGGTCCACGTGGAGCCTGCGAAGTCTCAGGAGAAACTGGCCTCTGAACCACAGTGTGTGGGCTAGGCTGACGGGCTGCTCACTGTGAGAGCAAGGGGCATGCAGAACTGCCTTCTCTGATGGCCGTCAGCCCACCAGCAGCACGGTCCACCTGCTTTCAGAGCATCTCGGAGCCTTGGGGCCAGAGTTCCCTCGGCAGCTGTCCTGGGCAGTGCCGTCCTCACGCCAGCCTCTGTGGCCCCTGCTGGCTGTGTGTGGCATCCGTCCGTCCGCACTACTGAGCCAGCCTTAGTATAGTGGGCCTGAGTGAGTTCAGAAAGAGTGGAGCCTGCAGGGAACATTCAAAAGCAAACCCCTCCCTTCCCCCCTCCAACTTAAAATAAACGGATCAAAGGCTTTCACCTGAAATTACCCAGAACCACCTCAGTGAAAGGCACTACTGGGTGCATTCCCAGTGTCTATAGCCACGTGTTTTCTGACCTGCCTGGTTTTAACTTTTTTCCATGCTACAGAGAAATTTTGCCTCTTGCTTTTTGTTTGTTTGTTTGGGTAAACATCACTTTGAAGTACGACACACATGTGGGAAATTCCCCAGATTGTAACTGCAGAGCCCAGTGGATTTCTGTCAGATGGAATCAGTCATCCCTAGGCCCCAGAACACAACACGCTCAGCACCCCAAGCTCCCCGGTCTCCCAGGCCACCCAAAAAGCCACGTGTGTCATCTCATCTGGTGGCTCAGGGGAGAGGAGCCTCCCACTAGCACCCCAGTGTCTGACGGCAGGAAGGGGGGGTCATTGGGTGGAAGGACATGAAAGTCACCAACAGCCCTAGCAGGAACATCTGGGGGGCAGGAAGGAGGAAAGGCCTTTGCCAGATGTGGACCAAAACCTGCTCCCTGGCAGCTGTGCTGCACACCCAGGAGAGGTGACCCAGAGACAAAGCAGCCAGCTCCACCTCTGGAAGGGGCGGGCCCGAGAAGGAAGGGAGGAGAGAGGGCTGATGTGCTTTCATAGGAAGCTCCATGGAAACCCTTACCTGTGTGGTGTGACATCACATAGACTGACCTGCAAGGAAACGGTGGTTTTAACATAGCTGCGGAGTGTCGTCAAGCATTCCCCAAGCATGCACGAGTGCACCGCCCCCAAGCATGCACTGGTCCACATCCGCATACTCTCTTCACTGAAATTTCTCTTTGCATCGTTTTCTTGCATTCTAGTTGAACTGTTTATTCTGTTTGAATTGTTGAATTCTAAGAGTTCCTTATATATGCTAAGTACTAGTCCTTTGTCAGCCGTATGGTTTGCAGATATTTTCTCCCTTCATAGCTTGTCCTTCATCCTGTTATCTCAGTTCTAGCATTTATTGACTGTCCTCAGCATCATCAGATTGTAACATGTATTACAGAGGGGATACAGTATATTAAACCATGCAGCTTATTATGAGGAATAGGAAATTGCACGCCTCTTCCATCTCTCCATCAACAGAAGGAAGAATATGATTGTTTAAATTAAAAAAAAAAGTCTGCTATCCTTTGTCATAAGACTTATTGGAGGCCTCTTTGGAAATAAATCTCTCTTTTTCAATGATTTAAAAAAATCATTCTGGCTGCTCTGTACCAGCATCAGGCATCTCAGAAACCCCAAAGAAGCAGGTGTGTGTCCCAAGTCCCTCACTGGACTGTAACTAGCGGTACCACTAAAAGTTTTTTTTTTTTTTTAAATCTCAATCAAAGCAGGGAAATCAGCAAACGTGCTGGACAGGAAGCCTCTGAGCAACGCCTCAGTCTAAGCTTCCACCTATCAAATGGCTGCCAGTGACAAACAGCCACTAAGTGAATTTTGGAACAAATCTTGAAAGCATCCAGAAGTCACCAGAGACATTCCTAGATCCTCACAGCGGAACTCTCAAACTATCTCTGTGAAAAAACCTTGAAAACGGGACTCAATGTAAACACCATTTGCTAAAACTGCTTAATTTATCAACTTCAGAGAAAACACCAGAGCAGGACAAATGTGTGCTTAGCAATCTCCCCCTTCTGCCACATCCATTCATCAAAGCCTAGTTAGGCCTGTCTTTCCCCCATTTTCTCTCTCCTCTGTGTCCTCAAGCAGCCCTCACAGTTCTCCCAGACTCTCCCTTCCATGTGCGTCACACCCTGTGCTGGGGAAGTGGCCCGCTCTGGGCACTGAAGCCAGGACGTGCCTTAATGATAATAATCACCCATTGCAGAGCACTTTTGTGTGCCGGGCGTTCTAGCCACTCCATACTCTACACCTCACAAGGAGCCCTGGAGGGAGGGACTGTGTTATCACCATCTCCATTTGAAATGATCACCCTGAGACCCAATCCATGCAGCCTGGCTGCTGCAGACCTCACATCTCACTGTGAAGTCACCCTGCCCCTCCCTCAGCTTCCCCCTGGGTTTGCCTGCGGTGCCTTTCGCTGTGAACTGTCATTTTATCTTCTTGAATGACAAAAACAGACATTGGTATGCACCCACAGAGCCAATGGGAAGGTCACCCCACGTCTGCCGATGTCATGGCCAGCGGAGGCTGCCATGAAAGGAACCCTGACTGCCCCCTACCCAGTGATGCCCCCCACTCACGCACACCCTGCTGCCGGGATTTGCCCAGCTCCAGAAAGAAAATGCTGTTTTTTAAAAGCATGGGATCCAGTCTGGAAGCATTTGCCTCTTATGCCAGGCCCTAGAAAATGAGGCAGGGAGATCCTGAGATCAAGACTAGCCTGAGCTGCTAAAGCTAGGCCCTGTCTCAACCACAAATGAGAAAGAATGGCAGAAAGAAAAGGGTGGGATTTGCATTCCTCACCAGCTCCCAGGGGATTCTAGTGCTGCTCACGGCGGGAAACACTTTGCCGGCTCGCCCATGGGTGCAGGGTGAGGTGGCAAAGTGTTTGCTCTTAACGTATCATCCATGCCACCCTTGGGAGCAGCCACCATCCCTTCTTCCTTCCCCGCTAGCGACTCCTCTCGTCATGTGTCCCAGATGACACTGCCTTCTGAGATCTAGCCACTTGGATAGAAGGGTTTGGATTTTCTTTACCCACGTGGAGGAGCTATGTCCTGCCTTGGGGATTAAATGTGAGAATATCTTGAATCACTGACATCGTTGTGGTCCCAAGCCCGTCATTAAAAAAACAAAAAAACCAAAAAACAAACAAACAAACAAAAAAAAAACCAACAACACTCACTTGTGGGAAATGGAAAGAAAAAAATGAGGATCTCATTTTGTTCTTCTAAGATTCTTCAGTTTTTTATCTTTAGAGAAATGGTACAAAGTGGGTTTTAACCTTCCTTTTTTGGTACTTTGTTGTGTTAGTCAGCCTGGTGTTGCTAAAACAGAACACCTGATACAATCAGCTTAAAAGAGGGAAGGTTCGTTTTGCTCACAGTTTTGGAGATCCGTGGTCCATGGCTTCTGGGGTAGAGGTGAGACAATGTACCAGGGCAGAGCGTGCGGTAGGAGCAGCCGGGAGGCAAAGAGAGAAAGGCCTGAGTAGACCAGCATCCCATAATCCCCTTTAGGAGACACGCTCAAGGACCTCAGATTTCCTGCAGGGTCTCAAGAAGGTCTAGGCATCTCCCCCATAGCACCATAAAGAAGGGGCCACACCCTAACACATGAGGGACACTGAGTCAAACCACGGCGGTTGTAAATACTTGCCTAGCCCCTGTTTCAGCCATTTGCCCAACGTAAAGCAGCAGAATGCTGTGAGTCACATCCCACCCCCAGCCTGCACACCTGCTCATGGAGGGCAGTGAACGGGAAGGACTGGCATGGAAAAGAACCAAAACACTAGGACGAAGGTCACTCGGCCCAGTCTCCGTCCTCCCTGAGCCACGGCCAGCTGGAGTTCAGAGGCACAGAACTGCCTTCCGCCGTCCTTATTTTTATTTTTATTGAAAAGTGATTCAACTGATGACTCCCAGATCCAAAATGCCTGAACCCTAGAATCCACTTATTACAGAGCTGAATCAGAAGCTTTCATCCTGTCCTTGTGGGGCGCAGTCATGGGACCAAAAGGGCTTTCTGCTGCTTGCTCAGGGCCACTGGCTGCTTCCAGAATTTGAGAGTACGGATAAAGGTGGATTGGAGGTGAAAGCTTTCTAGTCATGATCTACAAAAGCCTGCTTTCCCTTGGCTAGGAAATGATCAGGGTGAGATGGGAAAATGTTTTGTTTTGTTTTTTTTATAAATCTCCTAAGCACTCAGCAGTGGACTCATAGAGCAGGTCAGTCCAGGCGTGGTAAATGCAAACTGAATGTCCGTTGTCCTGGGGGACATATAGTAAATGCACGGGCTCCTCTTGCCTAGGGGGACAGGTGTCTGTGGTGACAGCCTGGCTTGCACCACCCTGGCACCCTGGCACCCAGCTCCTCTTCTTCCTTCACAGAATGAAGTGATCAGCCAGCAGCTGTGCGTCATCTTCACACACTGTTATGGTCCCTACCCCATTCCCAAGCTCACGGAGATCAAGAGGAAGCAGACGTCACGCCTGGGTGAGTGGTGGCCCGGGTATGCCAGGCTACAGCCGTGGAGCGTAGGGGTGGGAAGGAAGCAACCCGTGGGACAACTGCAGGATGGGAACCGTGGAGGGCAGAGAGCGGAGGAGCCAGGCCCCAGAGATGAGAGCTCCCTCAGCAGGCAGTAAATCTCTTTGGAGAACACAACAGAGGACGCAGATGAGGAGGCTGCAGTGCCTCCCCTGTGGGACCGTTTCCCTCGGTCACTGACACTGAGCACTGCTGAGGCTGCTGATCCATGAGTCCCATGCACAGGAGATTTCGATAGACAGCCCACTGTCCATGTCAGCTGTGATGGTTTTGGTAGCCAACTTGATGCAGTCGGATTACAACCATCTAGGAAGAGAATCTCAATGAGGAAGTGTCTAGATTAGGTTGGTCTGTGGAGATTGTCTTTGTTTGATTGTTGATGTGGGTGGGCACCATTGCCTGGATTTGTGTGAAAAGGAACAAGTGAGCGGAGAACATTCGTGTGGATTCTCTCTCTCTGCTCCTGGCTGTGGGTGTGACCAGCTGCTTCCTGCCGAGTTGACTGTCTGCAGTGTGGACAGGAGCTGTGAACTAGACTAACCCATTTCTCCCCAAAGTTGTCTTTGTGATGGCGCTTTATCAAAGAGATGGGACGAAGGCAGCAACTCTCCCATCTGTAAAGTCCGCCATCTCCACGGCAGAGGAGGAGGCGGGAGACACCAATGAACCAGCAGTGTCCCTGATGGTCGTCCTGCTTTAGGAGATAATGAGAAGAAAGGAACAACCACACATGACCATACAAACAAGGGCAGGTTAGGGCTAGAGAATTGCCTCAGAGGTTAAGAAGGAAGATTGCTCTTCCAGAGGACCCGAGTTCATTTCCTAGCACCCATGTCAAGTGGCTTATAACCACCTATGACTGCAAATCCAGAGAGATTCAACACCTCTAGCCTCTGTGGGCACACACACACACACACACACACACACACACACACACACACACATAATTAAAAACAAATAACTCTTTTTATAATTGAAAAAGCAGGGCACACCTGAGCATTGGAGGTGGGTGCTCTGAAGTTCAGCGAGGCTAGCCGATCACTTTATATGCTCCCTGGGTACCTGCACATGATCCAGCCATATACTTGACTTTCACCTCTCAGTGGCGCTCAGATATCCCAGGAGGTAGGCATGGCCTATCCCACGCTTTGATTGCCATCAGGAGACAGAGTGGAGCTGGGACTTGAAGACAAGCCCTGCCAATGCCAGAATTCCTCACTGTGTAGGGCCAGCTCCTGAGACTCCCCAGGCAGGCACCGCCTTCATCCAGACGATCCGGGGCTACTACAGGCAGAGCAGAATTGAAAAGACAGAGAAAGCCTGGCTGTCTTGAGGTTGGAAACCTGAGCCTGCCATTGCAGAAGCCCATCCCCTGTTGCCTAGAGAGTAATAAAAAATTAACAATGAAGGATTCCTTTTCCTATAAAGGTTGGGACCTTCTCTACTCCCTGTATCCTTTCTCTCTAAATTTGAAACGATGGAGAAATTGCTATCCTATAGCAATCCTATAGCAAAAGCATTCTTTGCTTTTATCAGTTAAAGATTGAGTGCATAGAGCTGATTCGAAGTATACCTAAGCCACAAGTGTTTCTGCCCTGCAGGAAATATTGATCGTCAGGGTAACAGATTGGAAAGGCCAACCAATGAAAAGGTGGTAGAGGCGAAGAGTCACCTTCCCAGAACATGACAGCAGTGCACCACACGTGAGTGCCTTGTGAGGCACCTTGTTAGCGTGAACATTTTTGAGGGCCGGGACAAGGACACAGCATAAGCTCTGCTTCCCGTGGCCAGAGAGGGAAGAGAAGCCTTAAACACGGTGCAGTGTTTCTCACTTGCAGCGAAAGGGGCTTGGTCTTCGGGACACGGGTCAGAGGTCCAAGGTTAGCACCATGAGAAGGCAGGTCTGGGTGGCACTGGCTCATGGGTAAGTGCTCTTGCAGATGACTCAGGTCCTGTTCCCACCACCCACATGGTGACTCTCAACTGTCTGTAATTCCAGTTCCAGGGCACCCGATGCCTCTTCTGACCTCCATGGGCTCCTGCACACACACAGTGCACACTCAGACACACGTGCATAAAAGAGTATTTTTTAAAAATGGGCAGAGGTCTTGACTAGACAGGTGGAGAAGGAACTCAGTCACAGTGGTCTTGTCAAGAAGTATGGCCTCGGGTTAGGGAAATGGCTCAGCAGTTAAGAGTGTGTACGGCTTCTGCCCTTCCTGAGGACTTGAGTTCTGTTCCCAGCACCCGTATAGGCAGCTCACAACCGCCTGGGACTCCAGACCAGGGAAGTTAGAATCCACAGGCACCCGCTCTCACATGCACATACCCACACATGTACATGCCACTAAAAGTAATAAAAATACATCTTAAAAAAAAAAGAAAGAAAGAAAGAAAACGAGTGTGGCCTCTCTGGGAGCACTGGGGAGCTATTGGAAGGTTTGTAAAAGGGGAGAGGGGGATTGTAATCAGAACCCACACTGCCTGTCACCACAAAAATCAGTCATCAGGGACAGGAACCGAATCACTAAGAGGGCCCAGGATCTGAGGCGGCAGTGGACTAAGACCCTAACACAAACCTCTCTCCACTCCAGCCCCCAAGCTGTATGGGGAGGGTGGAAACAAAGAGTCAGCCATTCCAGAGCTCAGTCTTGCCTTCCATCACGTGGACAGTCACAGTTCTGAGCCTTCTCCCCCGACAATCTCTCCGACTGGTCCTCATCCTATGGGGATCTGGGCTCAGGCCCTTCTTAGAACCACCTGGGCTACAGACTTAACAGTTGCCCTGCCAAGCTGGCCGTAGCGTGTACATGCAGATTCCTTCCTGTGCTATGGAGTGCAAGTACCCCGTGGTATGAAATGCACACGTATCCTAGTGCCTCCCCGCCCCCATCAGGATGGGATCTGACTTTAGGAAGGATGGCTCCTGTGGTGAGTGAAAGCAAAGAGACCAACAGAAGCTCCAGAAGGGTCTGGAAAGATGATGTAACCTGACCAAGGGCGGAAACAGAATGAAGGGGAATGAGGGAGAAATGGTCAGGAGTTTGGGATGACCGTAGGAAAGAAAGCTCCTCTGCCTTTGGTCCTGGTTTGGAGCACCTCTCATAGAGATGAGGAGCACCCAGCACAGAGCATGAGTCCAGGAGAACCGCTTAGGCGGGTGGAGATGTTGTGGCTTCTCAAACTCCCCCAGTGAGCACTGTGAACGCCGACCCTGAGTGCCGCAGTTCTAGTGAGCTGACATGCAGGTGGCCTACCACGAGACCCTGGCAGTTAGAGCCACCTTGTTTTTGCTGGGTGGAGACTGACCAGGAGTCAAGGAGCTGAGGATGTTCCTAGCAAGGCAGAAGGGCTGGGCTGACTCCAAGGGCCACCCAGAAGGACCTGGGGTCTGCATGACTGAGTTCAAAGTAATACCTAGGAACCTTGTACTTGGTGGGTCAAGCCGTAGAATTGGGACGCCTTGGGTCAAATCCTGGCTTGCAGAGCCCCTGGGATGTCTCCATGTCTCAGTTCCCTCCCTGCACAGGGACTGCCATTGTTAGACTCAGTGAGTGAGTGTTAGCTACATTGTCTTTGTTATAAGAGACAGGGCTGGCTCCTTTGTCGCTGATCCTGGGAGAGAACCTGGAGTCCAGTGGCAAGGGGGCGGCTGCCCTTCTACACCCCTTCCACTGGGGGAGGGGAAGAAGGGGGGGACACTGAGCCTAAGAAAAGGGCAGGAGGATGGGTGGGTTCGCTTCACAGACAGGCCTTTCATACCCTGAGGTCTCTAAGCTCTGCCTAGAGGTGTGTCTGCTGTGGAGTACGGTGGTTCCTCCTCCTGCTCCTCCTCCTCCTGCTCCTCCTCCTCCTCCTCCTCCTGCTCCTCCTCCTGCTCCTCCTTCTAATCTTTGTGAGTGTGAGAGTGTGGGTGTGCAGGAGGTCACAGCACAATTGCCACCGTCAGGTCTCACGTCCCATGTGTCTGAGGCGGGGTCTCTTGTTTGCCGCTGTGTGCACCAGTCTAGCAGGCTTCCAAGGAGTCTCAGCCCTCACCACCCATCCCACTGTAGGAGCACTGGGATTCCACATGCCAGGGCTACCACGTCCAACTCTGAAGTGGGTTCTGGGGACCAGAACTCAGGTCACCCCGCACACTCAGCCAGTGCCGTTACCCACACTGAGCCGTTTCACCAGCCCACAGGCTGCTTCTACCACAGGTCAGCTTTGAGCATCTCCTTGCTGAGCTGGGTGGCAGCGGCGCATCCGTCCTCCATGGGTGCTGCCTCCAGTGTGACTCTTGGGTCACCCATGAGGAATGAAGAGGTCATTGTGCTTCCCTGTCCCCCCCTGTGTGTTTGCCAGAGTCACCCTCCTTCACTAACACACTGCCCCCCTTTCCGTTCCAGATCCTCATTTTCTTAACAATAAAGAAATGTCTGATGTGACCTTTCTGGTAGAGGGAAGACCCTTCTATGCTCACAAAGTGCTGCTGTTCACAGCCTCTCCCAGGTTTGTACCCTCGGCATCGCTGTGGCTGGAATAAGTCTGTGATTGTTCCTATTGCTGCTCTTTTCCTTTTGGGAGACAAAATCTCACGTAATTCAGGATGTCCTGGAATTCACTGTGTAGCGAGGTTGAACTTGAACTTCTGATCTCCTGTCTCCACATCCCTAGTACTGGGATTACAGGCGTGCACCATCAGGCCTAGTTTATTTGGGACTGGCTTATGAGTGCCAGGCACGCTGTACCAACTGACCATCTCTAGCTCCTATGCCTTCTGAAGTCCAGTCCCACTGATAAGGTCCCTGCTGGCCAGAGGCTTTGCATCCAACCTCCAAGACAGATGATCACCCATGGGGAGCCCCTCCCCCAGTGAATATGGGTTAAATGCCCTCGAGGCCGCCTGTCTCACAAAGACAGAAGTTCCTGCCTCCCTGGAGCAAAGCTTGGACAACAGAAAGGAGGACAGGTGGTGGTACCCTGGGCTCCAGACAAGAGAGAAGCCAGGTCAGGTGCTCAGAACAGACTGACATCTGCGGAGGAGACCCCGGGTTGGCGCTGGAAAGTGATGGGGTTTTAAAGAGCGTCCGGTTCCTTCCCAGGGGCCAGTCTGGGAAAGGATGTGAGTTCCAAGCATAGTCATTAGCTTTGAATGGACACTAACAGCTGTAATCCAGCGGTGTCTCAGAGCAGGGTCCAGAGATTTGTCAGGAGGAGAGTCATTTGGGCAAGCCGTAGCCGTGTGGATGAGTCTTGATCTTTCTGTGTTGTCCAGGTTCAAGGCCCTCCTCTCCAGCAAGCCAACAAACGACAGCACCTGCATAGAGATCGGCTATGTGAAGTACCCCATCTTCCAGGTGAGCCCTGGGGTGGCCTTCGGGCCTCAGCTGTCCCGACCACCTGGGACACCCCTGTACTGCCGGTTCACTCATTCCATCCCTCCCACTGCATCCCGCAGCCCGACAGCAGTCACTGGAGGCCAGTGCCTGTTAGCCCCAGCCTTGGGCTGGGGGAGGGAGCCCAAAGGTAAGGGACACCCTCTCCCAAAGACTTGTAAGTCTAGAGAGAGTATCCCCAAGTCTCCCGTCGGCTACAGTGTACGTGGGGTGTTTGCAAACATGGGCTCCCTTTTGGAGCCATGTGCTGTAACAGCTCAGACCCAGGACACTGGGGCAGGGTTAGGAATGGAGAATCAAAGGCCAAGCCAAAGCCGTGGGACTCAGAATGAGGCTTTGGGCTCGAGAAGAAGGCTAGAGCATTCCAGACAAAGAGAAGAGCACGTGAAAAGGACTTACATGATGTGCTCATCCTGGCCATGTTGGAAACCAGGATCTGTGCCTAGCCCATCTGGTGGCACACCTCAAGGACTCCATTCTGAGATGGTCTAAGTAAAAACCATACCAAAACGGAATTCCTGTTCCCCCGGCCTCCATCACACATTGATATCACCTGGGGAGCTTTGAAAATGTCCCCTGGATGTCTAGTCTGTACATCAGACCCATAAAAGCAGAACCTCAGGGCAGGACCCAGCCTTGGGCATGATGAGGCCTCTCCCTCCTCCTGCCATCGTGGAGCGGGGCACTCTTCCTTATAGCATCTTCTGGACATTAACAGGCATCCGGTGCCCTGGAAATGGTCAGAATGACTTGAAAACACACTAAGTGTGAGTCCCTAGGTCCCGTCCCTACACCTGGCTTTCAACCATGAGAAGTCTCACTTCTGTCAAGAGCCGCTGATGCTGCTGGGCCCAGGGTTCGAACCTGAAAGCTAATGCTGTCCTTGTGTCCGTGATCCTTCCAACTCCCCTGCCAGGAGCTCTTGGAAGGATGTGGCCCGACTTCCCACAGCTTCCCCTAGGAGAGCCAAGGTTAAAACTGAACCCAGTCCTGTTGTTTTCTCACGTCCTTGGGAAAATGAGTCTGCTCTGAAGTCACCTGACCCTACAGCAAGACTCCTGTGGCCTGTTAGAGTGGGATTGTGAGCTGAAGGCAGAAAACAGAGCACGTGTTCATGTGAGTGTGCACGCACATGCACACGTGCATACACACATGCACACACACATACACACACATGTACACACACATGCACACACATACATGCACACACACACACACTTCAGGAAGTACCCCATGACTGATAAGCCCGGCCCTCACTGGGGAGGCTCCAGTAATAAGAGCCTGGCTCAGAGGAAGCTCTCAGTCTCTGTTTGCCCAGTGGGCTTGTTGTCAGAGTCCTGCATGGCAAAGGCTGGCCTCAGGGGGATCCCTAGGCCTGTAATTGCTTCCGATAGGGAAGGTTTGCTGGCCACATTAGCTTCAAGTTCCTGTAATGGGAAGGGAAGATTTATCAGGCCCTGGGGACTTGTCTGTGTCCCTGCCCATTGCTCATAAAAGAAGAGCCTCATTTGTGGCTTGAAATAGGCCAGGGAAGGTGGAACCCGACCCATAAGGAGGCTCCCAAAAGCCTGTGCACTTTATATGTTTCTGGCATATAAATTTAGGAGAAGAATTTTTAGTTGTTGATACTGTACTGTTTCCTCCCCCAAGACTGTTTAACATCACATGTGTGCAAGAGCCAGATCCACTGAGGCCACACCTGGAGCTAGGCCTCCTTCAGGCTGCAAAAGTCCCTGCCTCATGTAGGTTGGCAGCTGCCAAGAAAAACAGTTCCATGTGCAGGCCCTTTGGCCTAATAAGGGCTTGTTGCACCCACTTAGAGAAAATGCGTGCACTGGCGGAGTCTGGAAGGGGGTTGGGACGGCCCAATTTAAGCTCCATTAGCCCAGGGTCTCCCTCCGCCAATGCGGCAATTTCAGCCCGTGGCTCAACCTTGAATAAATGTATATGGCTGATAGAAAAGTGCTTTGTAAATGGAGCGCCCATGCTGGGGGGTGCACGTTACAGTGGTGCTTCTTCTTCTTATTGGTTTGACCTATATCACAAAGGTGCTGGAGGAATCACTTGATTTTAATAAAGGCAATAGCCCAGTGTTGGCTGACAGTATTTCATGGGCAAATAAGGCCCGCGCTCGAGGCAGGACGGGGAGGGGAACAACGCGGTGTTATCTTCCAAGGCCTAGACAACGTCACCACCTCTGTGGTGGGCAGGTAGACACAAAACCCCAAGTCAGCGAAAGGGAGAGGCAGACAGGACACATGCTATTGTCTAATGTGTTCACTTGAGGCAGGCATGGTGACATGCCTGCAGTCTCAGCACTTGGAAGACTGAAGCAGGAGGATTGCCATGAATTCCACGCCAGCCTGAGATATCAAATGAGACCCCGTATCCAAGACCCTGTATTGATATTTATAATACTATAATAGAGTGTCCGTGTGCTGTCCGTGTGCCGGGCACTGTGCTAGGCGCAGGAATACAGTGATGAGTGAGACATCTGCATTCTCAGACGACCAAAGACGGACACTTGAGTTGTGGACAAGCAGTTGCCTGAAACAGAGCTGGTGAGCACTGAGTTGGACCCAAAGGAGGGCCAACCTCCACTGTTAGAGAAGAGAGCTCTTCCAGGCTGAGGGGGCTGGAAGACGTGATAGAGGTCCTGATAGAGGCAAGAGGAGAGAGCGGACAGAGCAAAAAAGACAGACACCAGCCGGGCGGCGGTGGCGCACGCCTTTAATCCCAGCACTCGGGAGGCAGAGCCAGCCGGATCTCTGTGAGTTCGAGGCCAGCCTGGTCTACAGAGTGAGATCCAGGACAGCTCCAAAGCTACACAGAGAAACCTTGTCTTGAAGGAAAAAACAAAAACAAAAACAGATACCATGCTAGATGTGGTGACAGTTCCCTGTAATCCCAGTACTCGGGGAAGTGGAGGCAAGGGGAATATGAGATAGAGGCCAGCCTGGGCTACACAGTAAGTTGTTTGTTACACAGTGAGACCTCAAACAAGCAAACAAAAAACAGGTTCAATTAGGAATCTGCTTTAATGAAATGTGCAAACATTCCACATAATTCCATGATATATCAGGACTAGCCATTGGTGGCACAGAAGTATCTGTTAATTGGCAGTTTCTTTAAGAGTGTTAAACATTTCCCAAAATTAGTGTTTTATTTATTTGTGTTCGTGTGTGTGTGTGTGTGTGTCCGCGCGTGTGCGCGGGTGGGTGGAGGGTGGGTGTGTATGTGTGGGTGTGGGGGGCCTATGTGGGTGTATGAGTGTGTGTATGCCATGGCACACTTGAAGAAAATTCCCAATCCTATTGTGGTGGTTGTACCACAGTGTGGTCCCAATACAGGACGTGACTAGTCTGCAGATTTGGCCAACCCAGGCAGGGAAAGCCAGGCATGTGGAAGGCAGTCGAAACTGGAGAGACTGGGACAAACTGGGCGGCGCTGTACCGTGTGCAAAGGAACAACAAACACTTGGTTGTCATGTGGGGCGCTTACACTAATTCAGATACATCCACAGTCTTTAGCCATTCAAGGACACCCATTTGCAAAACTGTAATTTAGGGCACAATTCAGACATTGGAAGTCACATAACAGGGGCAGCCTCTCTTGGAACATTCACAACACCATCAGTGAATATCAAACCCTGGCCCCTCTCAGCTTCCTCCGGCATTTGGTCAACTTGTGAGGAACTTGTTACCCAGAGTGGCCCTCTGGGACTTCAGGAGGTTTTTTTTGTTTGGTTTGGTGTCTCGAGACACGGTTTCTCTGTGTAGGTTTGGATCCTGTCCTAGAACTCACTCTGTAGACCAGGCTGGCCTCGAACTCACAGAGATCCATCTGGCTCTGCCTCCCGAGTGCTGGGATTAAAGGCGTGCGCCACCACCGCCCGGCGACTTCAGGAGGTTTTAAGTCAGGGTCTCTAAGTTGTGTCTCCTGCACAGCCTGACTGGATGAGAGGTAGGTTGGCTCCCCTTGGTCATCATCCTTGGGTGACTCATCCGTCCTGAGGAGACAAGCTCAGGTTTGATTTGGTCCTGTGGACAGACATGGAAGCAAAGCCTGGAAACTGTAGGGCTTTTAGAGTGTGATCAGGAAAACCTGTGCAAACGTCCCCCATCGGGGAGAGGGATGTTTTGGAGTGGTGTGGTACTGTGTACGACTGAGGTTCTACTCACTGTCTCCTCTTCCTTCCAGCTGGTCATGCAGTATCTCTACTACGGTGGCCCAGAGTCACTTCTCATCAAAAACAATGAGATCATGGAGGTAAGGAGGACATTGTGTTACTGGCTGCCCCAGCATCCCTTCCATCTGGCTTCAGAATTGGTGATCCTCCCTGGCTCCATGATCCTCCCTGGCTCCATGATCCTCCCTTGCTCTGTGGTCCTCCCAAGCCAGGCAGCTTCTCGGGGAAGCCTTCCCTGGGAGACTGGCTGCACCAGGGACCCTGAGTGGAAACCAGTCTTACATGGCTTGTGAGGGCCAAGTTCACCGAGGAATTTGGGCACCCCCTGCACTGGGACACTTGGACCATTACAGCACCATCAGGAAGTAGCCTGGATGACTTCCTCCCCCTTGTGGTTACTACGAACAATTACATCCATGACGAGCATGACTCATCCCTACTGTGCCTTCTGGGACCCAGGAAGTGAGAGCTGGGAGCCATCCTCTCCCTCCCAGCCTGCTGCTCCCCATTCTATCGCCCCATCCAAAGCCAGGGCTCTAATCCGTTTTCCTCATTAAAGATGGGAGCTAGCTGGACATGGGCGCGCACACCTTTAATCCCAGTACTCGGGGCAGAGGCAGGTGGATCGCTAATGGGTTAGAGGCCAGCCTGGTCTACATAGGGAGTTCCAGGCCAGCCAGGGCTACCGAATGAGACCCTATCTTTTAAAAGCAATGAATTAGTTAAATAATGTGGGTTTGTTTGTTTGTTTGAACGGGCATCTTACTGCCTGAAGCCCTGAAGCCCAGACTCTGGGTCACCTGGGCAGTTTATTTGACCTAGCTGAGCTTGTTTCCTGTCCTGTAGAATGCCCATCCTCGGTCGGAGAGGGCTTTACAAACATGTTTTAGAAGGTTTTTAGTCACCTTTGGCCACGGCGAGTGCTGTATGGCTCACAGTCACTAAGGGCCCTGTTTGTCCTGAGTCCTCACCCTTCTTAGCTCCCCACCCATGATACCCCAGAGGCCCTGGCCCCTCTGGACCCCTCCTCGATGCTGTACCCCACCCCGGGGCCAGGCGGCCTTTTGTAAGCGTTTTCGATTTTACTTTCCGAGTTGACTAGCCTGTTTACTGGAGACTGTGGTAAAGGGGCTGGATGCACAGGCAGGGGAGGGCCCACCTGGCAAGCTCACACTCAAGTTCAATGGAGTTGAGTGTGCTGCCTTCCCAGGACAGGGACATGTTCACCCACCCAGCATCCCTCAGAGCCCCTCGGTGGGATATTTCACGGAGGTGAATGAATTCACATTTAAGTCACAGCTGGTCGTAATGGCTCCTGCCTGTAATTCCAGCACCTGGGAGGGATCTGAGACCTACCTGGAAATAGATCGCAAGCCCCAGGCCAGCCAGGGCTACACAGTGAGACAGTGTCTTAATAGAATAAAAAAATCACGAGTAGGCTCATGATAAACCCCACTGCCTGCCACCTTGGGGGAACTGTAACTGCCTCTCTCCAGCCTGTCACTTTCCGTAGGCGTCTGGGAGCCTCCCACAGCCCAGGGCTGACCTTGAACCGAGTGTGCCAATGGTCCACTGGGATGAAGACCCTGACCTCTGGACTCTGTCCCAGAAGGTGGGAGTGGCGTAGCACCTGGATAGGAAGCACCCTAAAGAAGAGGAAGACAGGGTGAAGGACGGTCCCTGAGGTGGGATGGCAAGGAATGACATTGGAGAGGAGATGTGGACAGCAGGGCAGGCAGGGAACCACAGAGGCCCCCACCCTGCTAATCGGTGTCACACACACACACACACACACACACACACCCCGTCCTTGCTAGATCTGGTTGGGTATTTGAGGTTGACCCGCTCTAACAGGTGCGTCTGCGATTCACTTCACCATGCCTCCTGCCCGCAGCAAGCTTCCATGACTAGGGCCTGTTCCCCTGGTCTCACCTCATACCTGCTGCATACTCCAGCATCTCTGCTTCCCGACCCTCAGTCAGGTGCCCTGGGGAGTGGGTTAGCTGCTTTTCTATTGCTCTGGCAAAACGCCATGAGTAGGGCAGGTGGAAGAAGAAAAAATCGATTGGGGCTTACAGTTGCAGAGAGATAAGAACTCACGATGGTGGAGGCAGCAAGTGCCCGGCCTGCTGGCTGGAGCAGCAGCTGAGCGCTCACATCTGGAACCACAGGCACAGAGCACGGAGAGCCAGCTGGGAGTAGGGAAAGGCCTCCTGTGACACCCGTCCTCCACCAAAGCCACACCCCCTAAACCGTCCCCCAGACAGTGCCACCACACTGGGGACCAAGTGTTCAAGTGCCTGGGACTATGAGGGGCATTTCTCATCCAAACCGACAGTCTTGCTGACCCTGCTTCTTCCCCGTCTCTGCCTCTAACTGTCTCTTTTTATGGATTGCAGCTTCTATCTGCCGCTAAATTTTTCCAACTGGAGGCCCTGCAGCGGCACTGCGAGATTATCTGTGCAAAAAGCGTCAACACTGACAACTGTGTGGACATCTACAGCCACGCCAAGGTGAGCTCCCCGACACCAGGGCGGGCCTGCGCCCCCGACACTGCCCTGTGCTGTGTTGCTTGGGATTTACCTCTGGGCTTCAGCACACACCAGCCAGTCGCTTCTGCCACTGATTACAGCCCCAGACCGTAGCCTTTCTTTCCTGCCTCAGATCCGACATCTCCGTGACCTCCCTGCTTCCTGAACATTGGAAAATAAGCCAGGCAGTGGCATTCTCCAGGAGTGTTATTCACTCTGAGCCTGGGCTGGGCTTTTGGTTCGGCTTCCCTAATCAGGTTCCAGCTAATGTCTCTGCTATTGAGTGATCTGGAATAGAAGCGTTTAGAATGGTGGGTCTCAAAATGTGCAGCAGCGAGATTTTAGGTCACACCCCAGCACTATCAAACCAGAAACTCTGGGGGCGGGGGTGGGGGGGTGGGGGGGTGGGGGATGTTCCTGATTCCAGTGCAAGCTCAAATGCGTGTCCATTATCTTTTCTGTGTTGTGATAAAACACCACAACCAAGGCTTAGTCTTATAGAAGAAAGGGCTTATCTGGGCTTTCAGTTCCAGCTGGATCAGAGTCCACTGTGGTGGGGAGGCATGGCGGCAAGAGGCCGGCATGATGGCGGGAACAGAAAGCTGAAAACTCACGTCTCTCAAAAGCACGCCTGAAGCAAAGAAAAGGAATTTGAACCCGTGTGAAGCTTTGCATCTCAAAGTGTCATCACACTTCCTCCAGCAAGACGACACCACCTAAACCTCTCCAAACAGCGCCACCAACTGGGGACCAAGTGGTTAGATGCCCAAAACTGGGGAGGAGGGACACTTCTCACGCAAACTACCACAAAGGGAGAACACCATTCTCCTTCGCGTCTCTGCGACACCGAGAGACACACACACACACACACACACACACGCACGCACGCACGCACGCACGCACGCACACACACACACACACACACACACA